ATTTTTGAATTTTCAAATTATAAATATAATTTTTGAATTGATGTAAACTAAACACCTTATTTATGAATTTTTCCCTTTATTGAACCATCTGAAGCCCAATTTCTAAACTACTGGCCCGTCCATGTCTGGACAACAACTTCTTTAAGATTCATCTTACCGGCCCAATCCTCCAATTAATTATAGTCCACCAAATTCTCTTCTAAATATTTGGTCTAGGCTTATTTGACCTGTTTCTTTTACTTACTACCATGCTTGCCATTTCTCATGTATTTTCCTTTACAGTAAGTCGTTCACATTGTGAAGTTTTACATTTTTTTAAATTAATGGGAAGTCGGGGTTATATTCACTCTTAAGCATAGTTATAAAATCAATTCGAGCATTGATCTGGACAAATAAGTGGGTTATTGGGATGCTTATTCAACTGTTGAGTTGGTTGTGAACCACGTCAATAACAAGATTATACTTTCTTAATTATTTTCAAATAAATAAAACACCATTTTTTTACTTCAAACAATATACTTGTAATGAAAATATGCAAAACAGAGCTAAAGAAAAAGAGGCGAAGAGATTGCGATCGCATTTTTAAAAAATTGTAAACGTCAAAGATTCTATAATCGCAAAAGAGACGGTTTGTTTAGTTATTTTAAATCTATACATAATGTTGAGCATGGGATACAAAGTTAGAAGTAAAATTATTGAGTACGTGGTTCAATCAATGATTTTGTATCGTCAAGTTGTCCAGTTTTTACCAGTTATTTTGATATTTCGTTGGTCAATTTTTTTTTTTAAAGTTGATTTAGAGAACAAGCGTCCTTAACAAGTTAGTTCATCGATTTTCAATTTAAATGACTAGCTCTATATATGTCGATTCTTTTTTTTACATAAACATTTTTTACCACACATTCACACAATAAAATATTCTGTACATAAATCTAAAATTTTCCTAATTTTTTAACCATACATTTTTTCATAACATTACTATTCAAAACTTCATTTTATTCAATTAATGGTCGTCAAACATGGGCTTACTAACTATGCTCCTAAGCATACATTATAATAAATCCAAAACGATGTTTTTTGAGGTTGGTGATAGGGTTAAAAATAGGGGAGACGCATGTCGCGTAATGATTGGATAGTTAAATAAAAAAAAAGAACCAAACAGGTGCAAACAGGACCTTTCTGTTAATTGGAAGTTAGACAAATTTTGTCCACAACTAGTCACTTAACAGATGATATGACTATTTAGCAACCCAGGCCCGCCCGCTGACCCATCTGGGTTGAGCCCATAAGGGTCGCGGGTTGTTTCAAGAATTTTTTATATTGATAGCAAAATTTTTTTTGTTAAATGTAAACTAAGAATTGAACAAAATGATAAATTCATATTTATACAAAGAAATGTTTATATAGAATTCAAATTTAAGGTGACATAAATTATATATAACTTTGCAAAGCTAAATTTAACTTAAAAAACTAACAATTAAATGTATTTCTA